CCCAGGACCATGCCCAGGGCTCATGGCAGTGGTTGGACTCAATGAGCTTTGAAGGTCTCTTCCCTCCCAAACCCTTCTATGATGCTGACCCAGCCCTGGCCACGTCCCCACGTCTTCCACCACCAACCCCAGCCCAGCTGCACTCCCCACCTTGTGAGATAGATGTAGGCTCCTCCCAGCAGCAAGGAGATGATCAGCACCGGGATGAATATGGCCAAGGCCATATTTCCTCCCTCGAGTGACGTCTCTGCAGCAGCTTCTGCTACTAAAAGGATAAGATCTATCATGTTGGCATTTGCAAACACCCTGCGATCCCCCCTGCTCCTCCTTTCCCTCCTCCCAGCTCCACACAGGCTCTGGCTGAGGGCCCTGCACAGGGCTTATCCACCAAATGCATTTCACTCACCTTCCAGAGCATGCTCAAAGCTGTCTTGATTCACTGGAAGAGAAATGGAGAGTTACTGGTACGTAACTGGGTTTGACTGGGTGCTTGCTGCATGGGGACCACAGCCCAGGGGTCTCCTGCCCCATTTGGTCCCACATCATGTGGGCCCTGTAGTTTTTAATCAGAGGGAGCATCCCTGTTGAGGTGGGCAAATGGCTGTGGGAAGCAGCAAAGCAGCGAGCGGCCAGGCCTGCCCTGCCCTGCCAGCACCATGGCCGGGGCTTCGCTCCCCCTCCCCAGGGCAGCAGAGCTCATGCAGCTCAGATCCAGGTGTCAGGAGTTCAGGTCCCAGCCTGAGAACCGCTGGGTCTGCAGGCAGGTGAAGGTCCTTGGGCAGTCCCGGGATGGGGACAGAGGTGTTGGTGTCCCTGTGTCCCGCTGCCACCCCCCGCTCTTACCTTTGCAGATGGGCAGGGGTCCGCTCCAGTGGGACGGCTGCCCCAGGATGCATTTGATGGTCACCTCCCCCATGAGTTCAAAGCCCTCGTAGCACATGAAGGTCAGGGACTCTCCTGGCAAGTAGAGGCGCTTGTAAAGTATTTGGTAGCCGTTTTCCGGCAGTCCTGGGTTATCACAGGCCAGCGACTCCTCGGCTGAAAGGGAACAGACCCCGGGGTGAGCCCCAGGGCTTGGGCTGAGATGGAGCCTGGGGGGCAGCGGGGAAGCACCCAAGGTCTCACCC